CAAGGGAGACATTAAAGTAGTTGAGCATTAGCATCACCATGATTGAACCCATGTACAGTAACTTGATGTAGGCTCATACTACTATGCCTACCACTCATGTACTGGCCACAGAGTGGTGCTAGAATCTGGACTTGTTTCCTCTTCTTGGTTTAAGGGTTTTTCTTTTCGTTTGTAGGCAATTTTGGTTTCATTGATCTTTTACCCAGATGGCAGAATCACTAATGATAAGTGAGAGAGATCTTGGATAATAAATTGTCATGAAATCTCTTTATGTCATATTGTTCACTTGTTTAGTGTTTTGTATTTTAGGGTCTCAGTATTTGAATAGCCAAGGTGACTGACATTGAAAAATCAACAACGTTGTCTAACAGAAACAATAACTTTCTGCTCTAAGGATAGCTGATAAATGTGGTATTTTAGCAGGCTTGACAAATGCTGACTTTTTAATGGTAACCTCTATAAGTGTATTCTATTCTATATAAACTATCATAAAATATTTATTATAAAAGCAAAGAAATGCTGATTGTGGCACAAATAGCATAAATGAACAAGCATCTCACACATTTTCTAAGTACTTATATGGCAGGATAGGCAACTTTAAGTAGAAGGCTACAAAATCCACTAAAACTCTTTGGCTGGCCATACATTTTTCGTTTAAAGGCTCCAGGATGCAGCGGAAGAGGTTGCAGGTGAGGAAGATGCCCTGGGGCATTTCACCTGTCTGCTGCTGCTGTGAGAACATGCACCAGAGTAGCAAATCCTGCACTGACACCATCATGCCACACACTGCATCACATATACCTGCCCGCCCACGTTTGACTCCACAATCTCCAGGAAGGTGGATGAGCCTGCACCCCACAACTCTGCTCCTGTCCTAGTTTGGTAATTCCTGGGTGCTGTCCAGCTATGGTGACCAGGTGTCCTGTTTTTAAAGGGACAGTCCTGTTTTTGGGGACTTTTTCTTCTATAGGCGTCTATTACCCCTCACCTCCTGTCCCATTTTTTCACAGTTGCTATCTGGTCACCCTATGTCCAGCAGGGCCATCTAGGGTAAGCCCACTGCAACCGGGGAGCTGTTGCCTCCTGCTTTTACTCCAGCAGGTGTCAGCGAGCAGGCTTCTCTCCTCTTCCAGGTGATGAGAAGAGCCACCTCTCGCCCCCTTTCACCATCTTCTGCTCCACGCTGACAGAGCCTCTTGCCCCTTCCCTCATGCCAGGTACTTGCAGAGGTGCTACTTCTCCTCCATCGCCTCTTCCCCAGTTCTTGGTGCTAGCAGAGCCACCTCCTCTCAAGCTCAGATTTGGAACAAAATAATCCTTCCCTGTTTATGATCATTTTTTTCTCTTTGGAAGGAAGTTACTTATCGTCCTTTCCATGGTTTAGTATTTTTGTCTTTCCCCCCCCTTTGTAAGATTTGCAACACCAAAGTCTCATTTTCAAAAGTGATTTAGGCACTGAGGAGTCAAAAATCTCATTGACAGTCAATGGGATTTAGGCTGCCAAGTGCCTAAAGCAGTTAGACCCTGCAACGCTGAGTGTAGCTAACACCGTTAAAAATCTGGGCTGAGAAGTTTATCTCTGTCTGTTTACTCTCTGAAAGACACTGGAGAATTCTTTGCCATCGAGCCTATGCAGGGGCCAATCCTCAGCTGGTATAAATTGTCATAGCGCTATGGAGGTCAATAATATCGGTGTCCCATAGTATCAGCAAAGTTACAGAACAGTATGAGCAGTTATTTCATTAGGCCATAAAGTAGCTAACTTCTAACCCAATTTTCTTGAACTGCTTCTCATCAGAAAAAGGAATTCTGATAAACATTTTAAATATTTGCTGACAGGACTTTGTTTATGAAGTCTCACTTTTAAATTGAATGCAAATAAGTGGCTAATTGCAGCAACTCCTGTTATTCTTAGATCTGCTTGACAGGCAAGTTGACAGAAACCTCAGCTAGCCCCACGCTTCCTCATCACATCCAGTATCCTGCTGGGGAACCTCAGTCACTTGTCTTCATAGGAATGGGCCAATTAATGTCTGATCTCTTTCCTTTCTCAGAGAAAATGGCTGATGCAGGCAGGGGGAAATTTTAACATTTAAACCTTCTCAGACAAGAAGTTATAAAAAAGAACAGAAATACAATATTAACTTGCCTCAAAATAAAAAAAAATTACTTTTTGGGGGCGTGATGGACTTTTTTTGATCACTAATATATTCAGCTTGTATTGGAGTCATGGTGCTATTTTCATTACACGACACTCTTGTAGAAAGCAGAATCTCTAGTTCAGTGCTCCCTGGTGGCTGAGCATTTGGTTCATTCGGACACTCACCTGTTGTCCATGTCAGAGGAAGCTTTTCTACCTGCTTTTAATTAGACCGTAATGTGGCAATCCCTGGGTGCGCCCACAACTGCTGACTTCACAAGGAGTTACAAAGGCACATGGATTGCTGGATCAGGTCTCAGCTCTGAGTAAAAGATAAGCACTGTCTCTCACCCCGTGCTTGTGTCAGGCTGTGATAAAGATCTCCCCCCTTCCCCTCCATTCAGGAAAGCACTCAGGCATGTACTTAAATTGCACTAAGTGCTTTCCTGAATTAGGATCCAGTTGAGTTCTCCAGTCTAAAGAGAGAGAATTTTGGTGTGGTATTAAATGTACTAGAATTTAGATTCTTCGTAGAAGGCACTTTTCCTTCAAGGGAAATTGCTCAGCAGGCAGTGAATACAGTTCACATTTTGAGGCATAAAATGTCTCTGATTTATAAGGTGGTGTAAAAGCTACTACAGTGTTTTGGACAATGACAGTGGAATATTGTGAGGTTTTTTTGTTGTTTAATAAGGGCCTCTTGTCTGAACAGATCACCCAGAGTCGATTGCCTCAGAAATGCTTTCTCGCCCTGCAGCTGAGCATGTGTCTTTCTGTTTTTCTTTCCTTGCCAAGGACCATTTCTCTGTATCTATCCCCAGCTCTGTTGCGTCTTTCTCATCTGCCAGACACTCTAATCAGTTCCTTGGTCCTCTACTCACTTTAAGGCCATTACTCCTGTGCTCACGCCTTTTCTTCCTATTTCAAGCAGTCTCTTCTCCTCCAGGCCCCTGTCTTTTGTCTGGACTTTCTCTCCACAGCTGCAATCACCACTCTTCATTAATTTGCACCTTACTGCCTGATACTGCCTCTCAAAATTACAACCTACTAGTAGGGTTCCTATTGCTTTCTCCTTACTGATGCTCTGTCTCCTCCTTCTATTTTCACATAACTCATCCCACTGGCTACTGGAGAGGGTGAGCGATGTTACTCAAATAACCCCAGCTTTCTTGCATCCAGCCATATAATGCACTGCAGTAACTGGATCTCATATCTGAAAAGGTTTGATTGCATCTTTAAGGCTTGACCTAATCCAGAGTTCTGCTGACAAATCATTTCTACTTTACTTGTTTCTTCTATTATGACAGCTTCTTGGCTTCCAATTATAAGTCTTTTTAAGATAGTAACATTATAATAATTGTCTTGAGAAGTGAAGTTATTTTTGCATTTGTTTATAGCGCCATGGTGATTCCATTGCTCAGCCTGATTTGTGACTGTTTTCAGTGCAATATAGAGGGCTAAATTCTGATCCCATTTACACTGATATTAAATGTGGAGTAAATCCATTGACTTCAGTGCCCTAACTCCGGATTTACATCTGACCTTTACTATTTCTAAAAAAATTAATTGCCTGCAGCTTAGTCTTAATGAAAACTTACAGGGACGATTCTACCATTTCAGAGTTCTGAACTGAATAGTAGTTTTCAACTAAAAGGGTTATTTTGGAATTCTTTGCAGAGTTAACCAATGTTTCTTAGTTCCCAAGATCAGCACTACAAACAATATGCAAAAATATTTGTACACAACAATTACTTGAGGAAGTTATATCCTGAAAGAGTATGACATTTTGGCTGTGTTAATTCCCCTAAATGTCCTGTATTTGTTTTTTGCAGTGTTGTAGCCGTGTTGGTCCCAGGATATTAGAGAGACAAGGTGGGTGAGGTAATATCTTTTATTGAACCAGCTTCTGTTGGTGAGAGAGACAAGCTTTCTAGCTTACACAGAGCTCTTCTTCAGGTCTGGGAAAGGTACTCAGTGTCATAGCTAAATATAAGGTGGAACAGATTGTTTAGCATAAGTAGTTATTTGTTTCATCCTTATGCTGAAGGTTTCCTTAATGTAATTATTTTCTTCAGTAGGTTTAATGTAACATAGACCAGCTATATTCTTCATGGTATAAAAACCTACTCAGATAAACCCTCAGAATTTTGTAATGAGAAGTACAGGAGAAAATATGCCTTCTTGAGGGTGGAGTGCGGGGGTTGGGGTGGGGGTTAGAGTAGCCTGGAATCTTTGTGGAGCTTATGTTTTATCCTCCTGTTGCTCTAGAAACATCTGCATGGGGTGTGAGGCCCCTGTGGGCCTCTCTATGATGCACCCTTAGCCTCCCATGCTGCCACAGGTTTTGCCACCTACCTCTTTGAGGGGGCTAGTAGATGTGGAGCTTGGAGCAACATTAAGTTTCAAGTGGATTCCACTAGGTCTTTAGAAGATCCTGCCATGAAGAGCGGCTTCACTTTCCCCAGTATGCCTTAACTCCATTGTAATCGTGTGAGAGGGCTTCTTCTGTTGACTCTAGGGAGAGAGGGAGAATGTAGCAGGGGATTCGGTACCTTGCCCTTTTTTTGCCGGTTTTTGCTTGACTCTGTCCATATAAAGAGCGGGAAGCACTGAGCCCCCACTTACTACATATTAAGAGAACCAAAATAGTCTTGCAACCTCGGTATTGTCAAAGAGTAGGCCACAGCTTTCTTGTGAAGAGAGAGACACAATGGGTTTTATTCTTTGATCATTGCATGGATTAACAATAGTGGGAGCAGCCCATATAAATCCTACTGCGTTATCAAGATAAGAGGCTCCCTTTGAGTTTGTTCTTCTGTTTAGCTTCCACCATCTTGGCCGCGTCTATTCGGAAGGAGACGCGGCCAAGATGGCGGAAGTCGAACAGAAGAAGAAACAGACCTTTAGGAAATTCACCTACAGAGGTGTTGATCTGGATCAGCTCCTTGATATGTCCTACGAGCAGCTGATGCAGCTGTACAGTGCTCGCCAGCGCAGGCGTCTGAACCGCGGCCTGCGTCGTACGCAGCATTCCCTACTGAAGCGCCTTCGCAAGGCCAAGAAGGAGGCCCCTCCCATGGAGAAGCCAGAGGTAGTCAAAACTCACCTGCACGACATGATCATCCTCCCCGAGATGGTGAGCAGCATTGTTGGCGTATACAACGACAAAACCTTCAACCAGGTGGAAATCAAGCCCGAGATGATTGGCCACTACCTGGGTGAGTTGTCCATCACTTACAAGCCAGTGAAACACGGCAGACCTGGTATCAGTGCCACCCACTCATCTAGGTTCATTCCTCTGAAGTAAATGATGCTTCGGGGAAATGTTTCCCTTTGAGTTTGTTTAGCTAAGAATCCGATGCAAATAATGAACTTTCATATTCCATGAAAAATAAGGTTATCCGCTCTGAACATCCCTGAACCAAAGTCGATTTGAAATCTGTATCAACGTTCTACAGCTTGCATCTGTCCTTAATGGAATGCAGTGAAAGTAACATTTCCACATACCGTTTTGAGTGTGGATAAGTACCAGATGATACAGGGGAAAAAAAATCATTAAACAAACTATTAAAGTGCAGAATTTCAGAATGTTCTCTGGTGGTCCAATCGCATCTAAAAGCCAGTGATAGGCATGTGGTTGAAACCATGAGGCATACTTTGAAAATATGCTTCTCAGAGTGCTTTGCTTATCACATTGAGACAACTGTACATATCAGTCACCTTTTGTCTTACATTTTCAGTTCTGTACCTTCAAAAAAAATAACCCCAATCTCATAGAAGTCTTAGTTCACCTGCCATCAAGTCATTCTTTTGTGTCAAAAAAATTATAACCTCCCTCATTAATGAGCTTATTCCTTATCACTTGAAAAAGTTAATTTCTATTGTCTTTGTCTAAAAATAGTGCAAGCCTGCTTTGAAATTTTGGAAAATGTATAAATGTAATAATTTAAAAATAGGCTTTGAAAATTCATTTTCTCTTTTGGCAATGTTGGTTGCCATGGAGTTCAAGTAATAGGTTGTGATGTTTAACACTGAATTAATTACTACTTCTCACTCACAGAGAACATCTAATTATACATATTCATGAAGAACTGTGTTTGGCGTTCCTCAGGGAGAAAATATCCCTTTTTTTAATAAAGTCTATACATACATTTGGGACTGGAATGGGTCTGATGCATGCATATCTTTCTATAACACTTTTTTAGGTGTTAAATTGTTTCCATAGTGTGTTTAACAAAGTGTGTAGTTTTAAAATTAATCTATCTTAGCTGAACTGGTTTGTGTTATGGTCACTTACATTTAACAGAACTGAAATTGTCCATCCTTTAAAAATATTCCTATATATGTATATATGTGTAAACCTTCTGCCAGGTGGAGCCAGCAGCAACAAGGGCTGGGTTCAGTGTCTAGGGGTTCCTTTTCAACAATACAACACAAAACCATCTTGAGCCCCCACCCAGTGACCTGGGACAATTACATACCACCCTCTGGGCACCTCTAAGAGGCAATACTTCCCCTCTTGCAAGCACAGAGTCTGAGTGTAGCAAAAACTTAATAAAAGGAGGGAAGTAACTCAGCATTAAATTGGGAAAACACCACAACTAGGGTTCATAAACATAAACCATGAGCAAAAGACCCACCCCCAAGAATGTTGGGCAGTGTCCTTTTCCCCTCAGGGTCTTAAGTCCAGCAACCCAAAAGTCCCTTTAACCTCCTGTCCCTTCTCTGCACCCCACTCACAGTTGCTGTCCTTGGCCAGTGCAGCCAAAAGGTTCATCCGCAGAGTTCACCTCCCACCCTGGGTGGAAGGGGGGGTAAGGAGGCACCTTACACGCTCTGCTGCTTGGGCACTCTCTCGTTGCCCCGCCAGCCGATTGCCACGCCTCTGCGGGGCTCTGCTCTGGCCCTCTCTGTCAGCCCGCCACTTGCCAAGATGTCTTCAGGGCTCACCACCAAACATAGCTCTCAGTGATTTCAGCTGTTAGTGGGGGAGCCTCACTGCTGGTGCACACTGGGTGGTCTCTTGCAATAGAGACACTGTCCCAAAGTAGTTCTAATACCTAGACCTAGGTATCAGAGCTCTCAGGTCCAGATTTTCAGCTTGATTTATGTCAGTTGGGTATTTGACTCGCAGTTCTGCAAGTAAGTTATTGTATATTTGCTAGTTCTGCAAAGCTTTACAGTCCTGAAACCTTTAATTTAATGAGTAGTTTATAATCAGACCTGGCACTGAAAGCTATTCATCTAATAAGTAAGTCTCCAATTTAGGAAAGCATATCTACACTGCAACTGCACTGACCCAGAGCTTGGACCCACAGGCCCAGAACCCTGCAGGGCTGGAGGGTCTGAGTTTGAGTGAAGCCAGGACCCAGGGTCCGAGCCCTATTTCTTTGCAGTGTGGCCACAGCCCCACTTGACTCAAGTCCTTGGAGTCATCCACAAGTATCCCACAATTCCATGGGACAACTTCCTTGATCCTCTCTATCCCAACAATCTGCAACCCTCTCTATTGAAAATGGAAGCCTCCCTCCACCCCACCCGACCTGGCCAACAGCAGCAGCTCAGGTCAGTATTAACCCATAAAATATAATGTAGATGCTCAAGCCCGGGGTTCCCTAATATGAGTCAGCTGACTTGAGGCTCTAGACTGAAATGCCGCCCCTGGCATTGTGCCGCCCCACGCACATGCTTGCTCTGCTGGTGCCTGGAGCCGGTCCTGCTTGAGTCCCACGAACCCTGGGCTTAAATTGCAGTATAGACATACCTTAAAGAATTGCCTGATCTGGCTCTTCATCTTACTCTGTGAAACTATCCCAGAAGATACAGCCAAAATAGTTCTGATTAGTCATGGCTTTCATTTTAGTTTTGTTTTGAAACACGATCTTAAATTAAAGTGAAGATTTTTAACAAATGTCCTGATGATTGCAGTACTTTTGCACATAACTATCTTATGCAAATAGGATCTGATCTTCTGCCATTGAAGTTTATAGCAAAGTGCCTATTGACCTCAGTGGTACAAGAGCAAGTCGATGATGAGTCTGTTTCCCCCTCAGTATAAATACGGTTGTCTCCCATTGGCATTAATGGGACTTACACATGTATGTCAAGGGGAGAATGTGGTCCCTTACCCTTTTTATCTCAGCTGATAAGACATTTTTAGTTTTTTTTAAAAAAGAAAATGGTTATTTTAGAAACTATTCTTTCTTTGATTGCCATGTACTGTCTGTATAACATTCTACTGGTAATGTTAATATCAAATTCATCCAGGGATTTGGTGGAGATAAGCTGGAAACAGTTCTAGACAAAACTGAAGTAAATTATTTGAATCCGTTTGATAAACATTGCCCATGGAGAGATTTTGTGAAAACCAAAGGGATTGAGTATTGCTGTAATTAACTAGGAATGATGAGATTTGAAATCTCTGGTGAATTTTCTGCCATCAGCAGTGTGTTCCCCTTCCTAATAATGATAAGCTGTACTATCTTTTTTTATATTAAAAGTCATAATAGTGAATAAACAAAGGCAGGGATTTCATGAATGTCTGAACTTTTTCTATCTGTCCACACTCAGTCTTTCAAATTCTGTCCATTGATGTGTATCTCTTCAAGTTAATGAGATCTACATTACCCATGCCTGTACATCAAAGGACAGAATTTGGACAATCTTTTCTTCTTTCTTTATCTTCCTGCACCCCCAGGTGCATAGGGCGGCCACCAGTTTCTACCATTTATTTCAGTCTTGTGCTGGTCTGTTCAGGCTTCTGAGTGTCATGTCAATGGATTTGACTTCTTTCTCTATTGTTCTGCATAATGTTTCTCTAGGTTTGCCCTCTTTTTCTTTTTCCAGGTCGTGTCCCTATTATCACTTGCTATGGAAGTCATGTTGGTAACATCCTTAAAGCATGTCCCAAATATGTCCATCATCATCATCTTACCATGTTTGATGCATTAGGTTGGTTTGCTCTCCTTAAAATTTCTGATGTTGAAATAAATTATTTTAGATGAATTCAGAAAATCTTTTGCAAGCATTTACTTCAGAATGAGTTCATCTTCTTAACAATTTCTGTTATAGATTTCCATGACGCTGCTCCATAAAAGACAGACATGATGCTGGTGTAAAATGTTCACGTTTTAGTATCCGTGCCACTCATGCTATTTTTCCAAATCTTTTCAAGTTTATGAAAGTTGTTTGCTTGCCTTTAGTTGTCTCTGCAAACCATTGGCTGATGTTGTCACCATCTCTGATGGCACATCTGGCATTAGCATATAGATCCTTGATGATTCTAATTATTTTTCTTCGTATTTCTTGGTATGCCATAATTTTCAAAAGACTGTTTCTGCATACACTGTCAAAAGCCTTCTGGAAATCAATAAAATGTGTCACAATGGGCTCTTGCCACTCCACACTTTGTTCTATAATATGTCTGAGAACAACAATATGGTTTTCATGTAATCTCGGTGGTCTAAAACCTCCTTGTTCCTCTCTAAATTGGAAATCTGTTTTTTTCTTGATACATTCTGGGATAATGTTGCGCATGATGCTTCCAGGCATTGAGAGTAATGTGATTTCTTTCCAGTTACTGCAGTTGGTAAGGTCACCCTTCTTTAGCAATTGTACTTTAAGGTCTGTTTTCCCCTGGGTTGGGAATTTAGACAATAGCACATCTGGATTATGCTAATTTTCTGTGATTTTATATTTGAATATAAAATTAGTGTGTTTAGAATATAGGGAGAGATCATCCTTTAACTTTGCCACTTTTAAAATTAATAGGTCAGCTAATTAGGTTCTCAGAAGCTAAGGTGATGGAGACTATACAGATTTTAGATAGACCGATAGCTTTTGGTCAGAAAGAGAACTAAAGTTGCCAGTGGGATTTGGAAGTCTAAACTTCTCACTTACCAATCACGTTAAAGGTTGGTGGTGGTGCTAAGCATAAGGAAACTAAACAATTGTTTAGGGCCCCGAGCATCTCAAGGGCCCCCTGATTTAGTATTATTCTCCCCTCCTCCCCCCGCCTCAAAATACTGTTCATCTTATTTAATGTGGACATTTTAACAAGTGTATTAGTATGTGGTGTTAGTAACTTGAATATGTCTGGCTGGAGCTAGCTCTTCTGTGTTTTTTACAAGCATTGAGCCTGAAGGGCGGGGAAAATTACAGCAATAAAGAGGAATGTGGCGGGGGAAGGGAGTGGAAAACCTGGCTGTGTCTGTGGATTTGCACTTTCATGGTTCTCTCACCTGGCCTAGCAACTGGCATTTGATAAAGACGGTGTTTCAAAAATATAGTGCCTGGCCCACAGGGGTTTGAAATAGCATTTGCCAGCTAGCATC